GCACTACTACTTGTTGTTAGGGAGACTCCTATATATGTTGACCTCCATCCTCCATAGCCAGGCATAACTGCAAATAAAAAAAATGCTCAACTTTTCTTCACATCCGAAAGGGCACACTCAGTAGAGTCTCTCGAAATACTCAGCTTCTTTTCATCCCGATAATACCTCTGTAAACAAGCCACACCAGAGCAACAGTATCTCATATCATCAGGGTTAAAAGTAAGAGTATCCCATATCATGCTTTTTCCCTTTCTTTTTCTTTGGCCTTATTCTTACCTGCAAGACAAGGAGAAATAGAGCAACCAGTCAGCACTTGAAATCAAGCTTCCAGTCAGGAACTGAATGCCTGGAACCCCTTGCCTGATTACTTACCTGGCATTGCTCTCGAGTACTCATCTTCAACATCTTATGCTTCCAGAGAAAATACCACATCTGTCTGAGGACCAGATAGGGCAAGTGAGAATGATACAAGGAAGCATGTGAAGACAAATGTAACAGAACACGTGTCGATACATCCACTACTTTTTCAACAGCAAAAGTATCCCATATCATCAGGGTCGAACGCCTCTAGATTTGATGGACTTGTTTTGACCCTTAAATTCTTGAGTCGGTCTTATACTCTGGAGGAAACCAGAAAACCCTCCAGTCTAGTTCAAGAATAAGCCTTATACTTAACCAATCCCGAAACTACTGAGCACCGGTCAATGTTATACCGTCAAGGACCTAGAAGAGTTTCCTTCCAACCAGAAGGCCAATCATAGCGCGACACGTGTCGACATCAAAAGCCAATCATGGCGTGACACGTGTCAACATCAGAAGCCAATCACAACACGACACGTGTCAATGTCAGAATGAAACTAGAAACTCTCTTCTATAAATAGAGATCATTCTCTCACAATATTTTCTAATGTCATTTGTACTAAATCATTCACTAGTATTCACTAAAGGAGAGGTTGAACCTATGTACTTGTGTAAACCCTTCATAATTAATGAGAACTCCTCAACTCCGTGGATGTAGCCAATCTGGGTGAACCACGTACATCTTGTGTTTGCTTCCCTGTCCCTACCCATTTACTTACCTATCACACTAGTGACCGGAGCAATCTAGGGAAGGTCACAAACTTAACACTTTCTGTTATACCAAAGTCCTTGCTGATTTTGTGCATCAACAATGTTAGCAAGCCATCTTCTATGAATCCAGCCTCCAATAGCTTGTCAATTTCTGCCTTGATAATCACTACTCGCTCGGGTGTGAAATGTCTTATCTTTTGGATCACCGGCTTGGCAGCGGGGTCGACGTGCAGCTTGTAGTAGGCTACATCGGGGTCGATGTCTGGCATGTCGGACGATGACCATTAAAAAACGTCTCAGTTGCTGGGGATAGGCATAAACGTGAGCCGATTCTAGCCGTCTTTTTCAGCTTGGATTGTGGAGCGTTTCTAGGTGTTTTCTATCTTTGTTTTAATGTTTAAATTTATTTATCTTTGTTTATTTGCGAGTATGAGGAACTAAACCCCCTTGGCTAGGGGGGGATTCGAAACCATGATTATGCTTGCTATATGATTTGATTACTTTTAATTGCGTTTCATAAGTTGTGATTTCAATTTGCTTATCTATGTGAATTAAAACTTATTCTTGTATGTTGATTGAGGGTCGACACTTAGTTTGCATGCATGAATTTGATGCTAGGATATAAGGGAATTTCACCTAATCGTTATGAACTTATATTCACAAGTAGTAAAGGTTGTTGATCACAATCGTGTTAAGTAAATTCTTGGCATAAGTTTCATGCAATCATAGTAACAAGTGCCTCGTCAATGCTTATGGTTTTCATAGAACTTAATGATTCTTGCTTGTATCTCTATTATGCAATCATGTAGGGGACTTGTGGGGAATGCTTTGGGTTGTCGTATGCAATCATCCAATTCAATAACATTAGGAAAATCTGAAGGTTAATTTAAGCGGACCTAATTAACTTGGGGCGTTGGGAATTCATGGTTTATTGAAAAGCAATTAGAGATCGTTTTATATGCAAGTGTGACATGTGTGGAGATGAACCCCTTAGCTAGCCTTCCATCCATCCATTTAAACCAAATTCGTTTTAGAGTCTTTTCAATTTACAAAGTTTTGTTTTGTTTTCAAAATTCGTCCAAAATCAATCCCCCTTTAGTTTTAAGTGTCATATTAGTTAGAAACCCATTTAGTTTGTGTTTTTAGGTGTCTTGAGTCAAGTTTAAACCAATTTTCGTCCAAATTCTTCCCTAGTGTCCAAAACTGCCCAGAAAGTGGTTTTAAGGCAGTTTTGAGTGTTTATTTGCTGTTTTGAGTCTTTTGGTTTGTTTTAGTGTTTTAAAGTTTAGTTTTACATTCTTTGAGTCTAGTTAGTGTTTTAAACTTGTTTTTACGTTTTTGAGTCAAGTCCAAGTGATTTTGCAATCCCTCCTAATCCCCGGCCTAGAACGATCCATACTTACATACTTGCTACAATTGATAAAAAGAGGGTTAATTTGAGTGTCAACATAATTTTCACATCAGTCTTCAGTGTCCTCTTCAGGTTTCCATCCTATCTCGGCCGCTCGAGCGCCATCTTTTCGATATGCCTGCTGTAATTGCTATTTGGTAGCCTCTTCATCTATTTGGACTTCGGTAGCCTCCACAGAGATAAAAATCTTCTTTTTTTATTCCTTCAATGCTTACACAGTGTATCGTCGGGATACGGCCTGGTCAGACTTGATCTCTTTGACTCCTCTTTCCGATATGCGAAATCAGATTTTTTGGTACTTGACGGAAGTGACGGTATCCAGCTTGATCAACCAAGGTCTTCCAAGAATCCCATTATAAGGAGATGGGTCACGTACGATTGTGAACGTTTGCTTTGAGACAACTGAAGATGTTTTCATGTCAAGTGTGATATGGCTGATGACGGTTGAGGTATGCCCGTTGAATTCGGTGAGTACCTCTGCTCAGCGTATGATTGTGCTTTCCTGGCCCATTTTCTGAATGACTGAAAGTTGAAGTAGGTTGACTACACTTCCATTGTTGACCATCATTCTGTCAACTATAGCATGGGCTAGTTGGACAGATACCACTAGTGCATCGTCGTGTGGAAAGTCAACACCTTCTGCATCCTGCTTGGTGAAGCTAATGATGGGTCCAGGTTAGATATCGGTTGCTTGGACTTGTAAGACTAGTAGAGCTTGTTGAATTTTTTTTTAATTACTGGTGGCCCCCAAGTGCTCGGATTCAGCTAAGATGCCATTAATTCGAATCATCTTGGTTGGTGGCTCTTCATCGTTGTCTGCGTTCCTTCTAGGTTGTGCAGCTGGCTTGTCTAAGTATTTGTCAACCTTGTCTTTTTTCACGAGCTTTTATAAGCAGTTCTTCCAAGTGTAGCAGTCATCAGTTGTGTGACCGGGAGCTCGATGGAATATGCAATACTTGGTGTGATCCAACTTGGAAGTATCCCCCTTTGATTGTTTCGACAGTTTGAACCATGGCTCATTCTTGATGTCGCAAAGGATTTGGTGGATCACAATTGAGAACTTAGAATAGTTTTTGGTCATCAAGCTTTCTTTGTTCATGGGTCGGTCCTTATGCTTGGCCTCCTGCCTGCTTTTGTTGGAATGTTTCCTGTCCTCCTTCCTTTGAGCCACTACCGACTATTTTCGAGGCTGCTTAGGTGCATTCTCTGCTCGACGAGCCTCATCCCAAAGTGCATGCTTTTCTACTAGAGAAAATGAGTCTGCTAGAGTTAGATATTCTTTCATGATATTTCTTTGAACAGTGGGTGGTCTGCTGGAGTCCTTTTTGGAAAGCTGCACTTGCTATCGAGTCATCGCATTCGACGATCTTCACCTTCTCCGTTTTGAACCTCTTCACGTAGTCGTGGAGCGACTCTTTTGGGTTCTTCTTCACATTGAACAAGTGGTTGGATTTTTTCTTGATCGAGCGGTAGGATGAGTATTTTTTGGTGAAAACCAAGGAAAGAACATCAAAACTTTGGATAGATCATGGTGGTAATGTGTGAAACCAATCTTGCGCCTCGCCTTGTAAAGTAGTTGCGAAGATTTTGCACATAAGTGCATCGTTGCTCCAATAAAAGATCATCGTGCTTCGATAGTGCTTCAAGTGCCTCTCCGGATCTCCATCTCCTTTGAAAGATGTAAAATGTGGCATGCTAAACTTACGTGGAGGCTTTGCCTGCTAGATCTCGTCCGTGAAGGGTGGTCTACTTATATTGGTCATATCCTGCCGTAGTGCTTCATCGACCACTTCGTTGCGTTGAAAATCACGCAATCGTTCATTGAAGAGTCTATCTACCTCTTAATGGATTTGCCTTTGCTGGGGTAGCGGAGCTCTTAGCTGCCTCCGGTCTTGACCTGCTGGTCTAGGCTACTCTTCCATGTTTTTGGCTTGTTCATGTCGCTGCCGCGATGCATGTTGTCCATCCCTGGCAGGTAAATGAATTCTATGCAGGCTACCGGTTGAACTTGATCCAGATTGAGTGACTGCTTTTCTCCGATGTGATGTGGATAATGCTTCTTGCGGACTTAGCAACGAATGAACGCTTTGCCTAGAAGGCTGCTCATGTTGATTATCAGAACGTGGCCCCAATCATGAACAAATACTTGCCCGTGGGCCTAGTCGAGAGTGCACGCTCCTCTGCACGCTAATTGATGAGATAAGCTTTGAATTATTACCTATTTTGGGCGCTTTTGATTTGGTTGAAGAATGATTGCCCGCTGCTCGCGTGTAGGAATCCCGTTGTATCTCAAGGGTATTTTTGTCCAAAAATCCACATGTCGCCTTGTGATTATTTTTGGCTCCACAATGATCCTCTCCAGATCTTGTTTTGAGGATTAAGGGGATTCTCAAATCGTGTTCATTCATCGTATATCGTGCGATCAGTTTTCATTTTATATTATTCATATTTAATTTTAAATAAAAATATTTAAAATAATTTATAAACGCACAATATCCAATAAACAGATCGAAGAGAATTCATCGTTCAAGTCTCGAAAGATAGAAGACTGTTCACGTTTCCGTTTCCCGAGAAGATTAAGAAACTGTATGACCAACCCATCCCAATTGGCCTCTCACCGCTCACTGCATCACTTTCAGTTCCTCACTAACTGCCCTGCACCCGCACAAAACCACACCAGACCTCCATATTTACGGACCTGCCCACCCCAGCTCCCCATGAATTGCCTTCCTTTTCCATTCCCCTAAAATCCCAATTCTTTTCTCAGCCCAGGATTCCAATTCCCCAAAGAGAAGAAGATGGGATTTGATCTGGAATCAGTTGCAGAGGCAACTTCAGGCGCCATTGGAGCTCTGGTCAGCACCACCATCTTGTACCCTCTCGACACCTGCAAGACCAAGTACCAAGCTGAAGTCCGAGCTCAGCATCAGCAGAAATACAGGTTGTTTTTTTCAGTCTCTTTTATTTTCTGGGTTTTTGTTTTTATTAATTTGGGTCTAATTGTTTGTATGCTTTGCGCTTTGTTGTTACCCATATTCTAAATTTTAATGGGAACGTAATTGCAGTTTATGTTGTATGATAACATGCTCAAAGCTTTTAGCTTTTAGCTTTTGGCTTTTGGCTCACTTGTTTATTAGAATTGTACCTTTTGGGTCCTAAGGTATAGAATTGTTTGTACGATTTGAGCTTTATTGTTACCCATATTGCAAATTTTGCTGGGAATGCAATTGCAGTTTATCTTATAGGCTGCCATGGTCAAAGTTTTAAGCTTTTGGCTTAGTCATTTGCTTGAATTGGAATACAGATTAAGTTCAACATTTGTGCCAAATAAATTGTCAGTCGTGCTAACTTGAGATGAAAGTCGAACTAGAGTTGTATTTAATTACTCTTTGCGTGTCCGATATCTGAAAAGATTATTCAATGATGAGCCTGCAGTTGTGTATTATGCCTTAAACAATATTTTATATATGATTATGCCTCCAAAATGTGATCTTTTTAGTGTTTTCCATACTATCATGGAGGTACCCCCGTAAGAAAAGCAATGAGATAATTCCATGAACTAACCGTAGGGTAACAAAAGCTAGCGAGTGGTGATTTAATGTGTACTTTTTTTTTTTTAAACCAGCTTTATCACCGAAGAAGTGATTTTTGTCTCATATGTTATTTAGCAGAGTGTTATTTGGTGTATAAGCTGCACCTGACCTGACAATATGTTGTGTATATCTGTCTCCCTTTTCATTTTGAACTTGTTTTAGCTTAGAAGGTTAGGAAAGAAAGAAGGAAATTTCATTCACTGTAGGAAGTTTTTCCAATGCTTCAAAATTTCAAATTTCCTTAGGTTAACCATGGAAAGATCAAGTCTTGTTTTAAATCTAACAAGATATGTCCAAAAACACTTTTCTTGTGCAACTTTCATCTGAATTTTTTTTTTTTTTTTTTTTTGGCATTTGCAGGAACATTTCTGATGTTTTATGGGAAGCAATTTCTACCCGTCAGGTGCTTTCTTTATACCAGGGCCTTGGGACAAAGAACTTTCAGTCCTTTATTTCACAGTTCATCTACTTCTATGGATACAGTTTTTTTAAGAGGTTATACTTGGAGAAAAGTGGAAATAAAAACATGGGAACAAGAGCAAACTTGATTGTTGCAGCTGCTGCCGGGGCTTGTACAGTCATAGTAACACAGGTGAGTTACAAAAACAGTATGTCCCTTTACTAAAGATGTGCATGTTAGTCCTGGGCCAATTAGAGTCAATAGACGAGTTCAAAATCGTATGCTATCACCGAGCAAAGAACTCAGTTTTATTTTTTAGTTACTAATTTTAGTCCTTACCATAAGATGTTCAAGTTTCTGGGTTTTGCTTGCAGCCCTTGGATACTGCATCCTCAAAGATGCAGACAAGTGAGTTTGGAAAATCCAAAGGACTCTGGAAGACGCTTTCGGAGGGAACTTGGATTGAGGCATTTGATGGTCTCGGCATATCTCTTCTTTTGACATCTAACCCATCTATCCAGGTACTTAAGTTTACGCTCTAGTGTACGATATACCATATACAGGCTATTATAATTGATTGAAGATGCTAAAATGAAACTTAATTTGAATCTTTGAGCTGCTTTTTGTACAGTACACAGTATTTGATCAGCTGAAACAAAGACTTCTGAGGGGGCAGCTGAGAAAAAGAACAGGTACAGAGTCATCTCCAGAAGCCCTTTCTGCCTTTTCCGCTTTCGTATTGGGTGCCGTCTCAAAGTGTATTGCGTCCTGCTTGACATACCCAGCCATCAGGTGGATATTCAATTCTACCAATCTTCTCTATGCAACATGTATATAGTTTATTTGTAGTCTTTACAGGAAGCCAGAAAAGCAGGGTTTTGGAATTGATACATGTCATACCTCCCTTCATATATGGCTTTCATGTACTACGACAGGTGCAAGGTCATGATTCAAGCTGCAGAAGAAGATGAAGAGGGCAGCAACGGAGCTCAAAGCGAATCTCAAAAGTCCCAAAAGACAGTTTCAGGTGCATTTTATGCCATTTGGAAACGAGAGGGACCGTTGGGTTTCTTCAAAGGATTACAGGCGCAGATACTGAAAACTGTGCTGAGCTCGGCATTGCTTTTGATGGTAAAGGAAAAGATCACAAAGACAACATGGGTCCTATTGCTTGCTCTAAGGAGGTATTTGTTTGTGAACAAGAGCAGATTAAAGAGCGCTTGAATTAGCGATGACAATGAGAATCGAATGCATGAAGCGAGTCCTTGTATTAAACGTGTATCATTGGATTTGTTCACATTTGTGGCACGTTTACTAATCCGTAATCAGGTTGAGAGGAATTGAATTGAGGAGGAATTGGAATGAGGTGGAATCAGAATAAGATTACTGTTAAAGTTGTTTACTAAAACTGTCTGGAATCGGAGTAAGAATGACATTGATCCATATAAACTGTTTACTAATTCACTTGAATCGGAATGAAAACTGATGTGATTACTAAAATACCCCTAGTTTAACTAATCTATTTTCTATGCTAATTATTTTAAAACTTTTATCTTTCATTATTTTTATTTTTTTAGTATTTGTTCTTCTCATTCACAATTCCAAAACCATCTAGAAACTCTGCAACTTCAATTTCCCGGAAACTCTTTCTTCTCATTCTTTCATTCTTCCAATTTTTTTTGTGACCCTCGGTCTCTCCCTCTCTTCCCCGTCCTTCCCGACCTTCCCATTTCTAAAACTTCCCCATCATTCTCTGCTACCAAAGTACTGCCGACCTACTCTTTTCTAAAATATCTTTCTCTGCTGCCAACCCACCCCACGTTTGCGAAGAACCCTTCATGCTCCCTCCCTTCATGTCCCAACCTTTTTTTTTTTTTTACCCCAATTTTGAGTTTCCCAATTGAGGCAGTGAATGAGTTTTTAACCATAAAGTCGGCGGATCGAAGAGTCGAAATGAGAATATACAAAAATAGGGACATGAATCAGGTTTGGGATAAACAACAGCTGACTAAAGGCAAGGAGGAAGATGGACCTTGAAAGCTCCAGTCTCAAGTCGCGGAACGAAGAGAAATCGGAGAAGAAGTTGCAGGGAGTCCACTGAGAGAGAAGAGTGTTGAAGCTGCATGAGTGTTTTGGGATATAAAAAGAAGTACAAGGGCACTTTAGGAAGAAAAGTTTGATTACTGATGGACCTTTTCTTCCGGAATTCAATTACCACCTATATCTTGTTAATCGGATTCCGGGCAAATCCGGAATTGAATTCCCCATTTCGGGTGGACCCCACCTTTGTTTTCATTCCCTATATACAAGTAAATAAACACATGAATGCATTTGAAGGAATGCAATTCCGATTCCACTTACCTCATTTCCGTTTGGTAAACACGCCATTGGAGTTTTACATATCGGATTCAAATTCAATAATGTTGGTTGAAGCTGGAAAAGTTTAGTTTCATATCAGCAAGGAAACCATGGATTAGAGAGGATGTTTTTTACTTTGATGTATATTTTGGCTTTTTAGTCATCCTGTATTCCTGTTCACTTAGATTGTCAAAAAATATCCAGAAAATAGGTAAAACGAACGATTGTTCATGTTTCCTTCGATCACAAAACTTGGGAAAATTGAAAGCTCAATAACAATGATGAATCGATGATGCACATGTTCAACAATCCGGTATTAGTTACAGGACACAAGTATATGGAAGTAATATTTCCGCCAACAAAGCGGCTCTCATTGGAAATTCATGTATCTCCTATGTCGAAAATGCAGAAAACTTGTCTTATAGCAGCATCCTTCGATTGAGGTTTCTCCGTAAATGCTGCAATAGCCAAGGAAATATGAAGTGTACGGAGATCCGCTTGGTTTACAAATGAAAGATAAAACCCATTAGTAGAAATAGCAAGTAGGGAACCAAACTGATCTTGGAAGCAGAACCGGTGGAATCTTGTGCATCTGGTGAACTTTGTGCAGTCACAAAGCTTCCTTCTGGTGTGCTGGTGGTCAGAACAACAACAATCCAGTTATCTTCAGAGCCAATTCCAATTCCGGTAAACTTGGTGTCGTTAAGTTTATCCGAGTACTGAGACTTTGTGAAGTTGGTAAGGACCAGACTAGGAACGAGGCTGGGAACGCAAGCAGGCATTATGACCCCATCTCTTGTGTTAGAGACATTCAAATGGCATTTGGCTAAAAGTTTTGGGTAGTCGGGGAAATTAGGTTCAGTGCCTGGTACTGTGTTGGAGCCTGTGGTGTTTGTACAGGGTTGATTTTTGAATTGCTCAGCTATCTCATCAGCAAGGCACTCTGCGTTGGCATTCTTTGTAAGGGCCGTTAGGTTCAAGGTGGCAGTCCTATAGCTGTTGATGCCTTGAAGAAGACTATCTTCTTCATCTACTGCAAAAAAGATAGACCAAAATTTGATTGTCAATATGTACAAGTCAAAAGGGAGATATATACTTCCACTAGACAATCATGTGGCAGCATATCAACATAAATTTGAGAGTTAACTTTCGGTTGTCAAACCAGAGCTCTTCTTTGAGTTTTAGCCTGAATATGCTTTAGGGTTAGGCAATCAATGTAGTTGTTCTGCGGTTGGTCTATTCCACTTTATCTTCTCGATACAGTCTTGTATAGAATTAGGGCTCGTTTGGGAAGTACTTTTAAATGACAGATAGCGCGTTTAGAGAAAATGTTTCTGGAATAAATCCTTAGTAAAAATGAAGGTTAATCCTGGAAAGGCGCTTGAAGTGCTTTTGGAATCCAAAAACATTTTCTCTAAAAGCGCTTTCAGTCATTTAACAGCACTTCCCAAACTAGCCTTAGTCCCAAGAATGTATTCCTAGCTTTCCTCAGTTTATGGAACTAAATTTAGAAACAGCATAGCACAGCCATGTTTAATGAACAATGCAACTTTGTAACTAATATTGACAACCCTTGATTGTATATACAACTAAGGAACTACAAGTCCGCCCCAACTATGCCTATTTTGTATCATTCCAATTCTATCAGATGTTCCCAAACTATGTCTATTTTTTGAAATGCAACTATGCCTATTCTGTATCGTTCCAATTTTATCTGATATTCCCCAGCTATGCCTATATTGTATCGTTCCAATTTTATCGGATGTTTCCGAAAGGGAATGAAACTCAAGAAAAGAATGAGTCTCATACAATAACACAAGTCTTTGGGATCTGTTCCTAGTAAATACAGATCATTGATTCATCCAGGGAGATGCAGAGTGTAATATTGTAGTTTTCTCATACATTTCAAGCAAAAATGCACATTCTACAAGCATACAATTACCTACCCATTTGCAAAAAACTAAACCCTCAAGATCCAGTAAGAAAATACACATTCTATGCCGTTATTTTTTCAATCCAAATTAATTAAACCCAGTTCAATATCCTCTAATCAGATCTCATCTGAAATGGGGGTTTATTTTTTTTAAATAATAATAATTTTGATAAATTAAACAAACCCAAATTAGAAATAAAATCGTAAATGTAAAATATAGAAACAGAATACAGAAACTCCACCATTGTCATAAAGCCTCAAGATTTGGAAGTTAATTAAAGCTGTTGAGCAAAAGCATAAAACTTTACCTCCATCGCATTTGACCTGGTGGCTCAACAAAACAATGCAGGAAAGTAATAGTGGGAGAAGGAGGAGACGCAGCGGAGACGCCATTGTCGGTGGAACTTGTGGCGGATTCTTGCGAGGTCAGATTAATGACGGTGGCGGTGGAGAGATGTATTGTCTGTGGGAGTTTGCTTTTCTTTCTGTTGCTTTAAGTAGAAGCTAAAACTGGAAGCAAACATTACTTTGTTTGACGAACTTGTGGCTCCTAACTGGTCGTGACGACGACGTTTTTCGGGTGAGCCGTCGCGGTCTAAACAGACTGTTATGGAATCGGGTGGAAGATCAAAATTTTAAATCAAGATTGCAAATTTGACGAAGAAAGAGAGCTTTCTTGATCCTTCGGGATTTGCTTGGGAGCTTTGGAGTTTCAAAGCTCCAAGGTTGTGGTGTAAGGTGAATTGGTTATGAATTGATGTCTAAAATGAATGTCTTAGCCTCCTATTTATAGAATTCCAAAACTTGATTTTTTGGATTTAAATAATTAGATGAAATAAATCATTTCTGCCAGGTGTTGACACATGTCCTGTTTGATGACTTTTCCTATTTATTTTGATTTTTCGTTTAGTCACATGCTATGTGTAAAATTTATGTGACACATAAACGTTGAAATTTTAATTATTGATCAACATTTATTTTACCGAAATTTCGATGTCTACAAATGCCTCCACTGCAAGGCGCGTCGTATACATGTGCTTGTCATGTGTAGAAGATGCGTTTTGAAGTCCCTTACTGCAGATGTTGATCCAAGGGCCGTTAAGACTTGATCTTGAACTGGGTTGGTAATTTCTTAAAGGGCCGTTGGGGCTTGATCTTGAACTTTGTTTGAAATTTCTTCAAAGGTCGTTGAGGCTTGATCTTGAAGGTTGAAATTTGACCACAAGGAGCTTCATGTGGTAGATGATCTTTTGCTTTGGTAGTGGGTGAATCGGCACGTATTTTGTTGCGCTTGTTGACTTTCCACAGCTTTGATCTTGAACTGGTTCAGAGGATTTTCTGGTTTCCTCCAATTGTTGACTTTCCACAGGCTTATTCTTGAACTGGGTTGGAGGATTTTCTGGTTTCCTCCAATTGTTGACTTTCCACAGGCTATTCATGAACTGGGCTGGAGGGTTTTCTGGTTTCCTCCAAAGGACTTTCCACAGACTTAATCTTGAACTGGATTTGATTCAAGGGTAATGGCCACTTGATCTTGAATTGGACTTGTGATTTCTTTAAGGGCCGTTGAGGCTTGATCTCGAACTTAAACATGACCACGAGCAGTTTCAGGACATGCATGCTTTGAAAGATCAAGGAAGTTCGCAGCATTTTCATATGAACCCTGAGCATTTTGGTCAACGATATGATCTTCAAGATTGATGGGCTCTTCTTCAAGTTGATGACTTGATCTTTAAGGATTATCGAGACTTTGCTCTTTGGCGATAGTGCCAGCGAAAGATTGTTAAAGCTTCTCGAGCTCTTTGATTATAGCAACGATGGCAGGCTTGGATTTGACTTAGACCCTTCCGTCTGGATTATACAGTTCTGCCAAGAAGGGTGTTCTACCATAATGATTTGTTCCGGCTCATCGTGCTGCGTTTTTTCTTTGCTTGTTTCTTTCGCCTAGCCGAAGTGGTGCACAACCTTTTGCCTTTAAATGGTCCTTCAGAGCATCACTTTTCAGCCACTCATCCATGCTTGGCAGCTTCAGTGTAAAGAGCCAACACCATATCAACTGTTTTAAAATATTTGCTAAGGAAATTCGAGATCCGTCAACAGTTGAAGATGAGTACTTGAGAGCAACGCTAGGTAAGCAACCAGGCAAAGGTTCCGGGCAATCAGTTCCTGATCGGTCGTTTA